CTGTCAAATCGGTGTTTAAGAGTTTGGTTATATTTAATATAGACCATGTCCTGCAACTTCTGATGCTCAAGTCTACTTCGCTTCTTGGAATGAATCTATTTGATAATTAAAAAATAAATATTAGTTTAACAATTCGTTATTAAGCTCTATAAAATAAAACCATTGAGCATATACTTACATGCTCAAAAATACTCCAATTGCGCTCACATCCTGAAGAGCTGCAAGTCAGACTCAATACTTTAATGGCAATTTTTTCAGTGCTTTTGTTTGTGTTCCATATGTCCCCCAACATTGAACTGTAATACAAAATATAATAACCAAATAATATGACTAGTTAAATAAATTGTAATAATAAAAGCTTAAAGTGATCAAAAACTTATGAGGAGACACTTTATCCCTTTGCCTTTTGGCCGAGTCCATGCCAAAGAGACCCTGAGCTTTCTTATATAATTCCAATTCATCCATGACCTGGTCCATCTCAACCTCATTGGCAGTTAGTCTCTCGAAGCATTTTAAATAACCATTAACCACTTCTAAATCTTCATCAAGCTTTGGATTAGAATAAAAATATTGAGGGTTAAGATAATGCCCAGTTGCATGCAAAGGATGATGAAGTTGACAATCCCATCTTCTATCAATGATAGCTAAAATCTCTTTATACTTATCTTCCTTTCCAATTCCACGAAATGCATTTTGAATTGCCTCTTTGGCCCTATCCATTGCTTCATAAATGTAACCCATTGCTGGCTTTTTTTCATTATCAACCATTCTCAACACACCCACAAGAGGCCCCATAGCCTTAAGACAATAAACAACATCATTCCAAAAAGATGTACTGAGTACTGTATCAGTTGCCCTTTTCCCCTTAGGGTCTTTGGCAGTCTTAGATTTTGACCACTCATCAGAAGTGAACATCCTTCGGAGGTTGTCTTTCTGCTTATACAATCTTTGTAATGTCAGGAATGTGGTGGCAAACCTTGTCACTTCGTGCCTCACCAATTCTGTTTTGCTTGTGAACTTCCGCATAGTATTCAATGCCAATGAATGATTATAAATGAAACCTACTAGGATGATGCCTCTTTTTATTTTCGTCTTTACTCGATCAAGCTTTCCAATGTCTTCTAGCATCAAGTCCAAGCAATGTGCAGCACATGGAGTCCAAAACAAATGACGTCTCTTCGCTTGTAAACGTTTTCCTAACATCACAAGCATAAACTTAATTAAGAAAATGAGTCACAAATAAATTGAAATATTAACAATTGAATGAGTTTGTTGTCTCTTACCAGCCAAAATATAATTGCTTCCGTTGTCGGTCACCACTTGAACAACATTTTGTTCACCAATCTCCATTACAAAAGTGTCCAAAGTTCATGTAATTTCTCACCAGTCTTCATATACGAAGAAGCATCAACACTCTTAACAAACATAGTTCCTGATGGACAATTCACCAAGAAATTAATCAAAGTTCTACCCTTTTTATCTGTCCATCCGTCAGACATAATAGAACATCCATAATTTACTCTCTCTATCTCATGCTCCTTCAGTAATTGCTTTGTATACTCTAAATCTTTGAAGGAGTGTAACTCTACATTCATAATAAGATGGAACCTTCAAATGAGGACCATAGCTCCCTATTGCTTCAACCATCAACCTAAAACTTCTAGAGCGTACAACATTGAAAGGTATCCCATTCGTTACTAAAAACCTCTCAATATATTGAATTGTTCTTGCTCTAGCTTCTTTATCACAAGCATCATTGATGCTTGTTTGCCTTTTCCCTAACTTGATGTTATCTTCTGGTTTTTTCAAAAGAAGTAAGTCCATAGGACCTTTCACAGTCTTGCCTTTCTTGGCAGCAACAACAGAGGAATCACTACTAGGTGTTACTCCCCTTTTTCTAGTTCTAAGGTTATGGATTTCTTCCACATCTTCAAGCTCATCATCATCTTCTTGTAGCTCATTTAGGGAAGCATTTTTATCAACTAGCTTCTTCTCATACGCTTCCTTCAAAGCATTTCTTACTTCTGGGGGGGGAGGGGGTTTCTTACATGGCTCTACATCTCCCTTTATCCCTATTTGGTGAATTTAGCCCTGGTAATTCCACCTGTTGTTGTCTTCTGACAGAAGTCACATGTCACGTTTCTTTTGTTATTGATATCCTTCAAGGAATTCCATTGCCAATGCTATATCACGATAAGGACCCGGGGGTTTAACCAAAGCACAAGAAGAAGGAGATTCTTGTGTGCTGTTGTTGGATGCCATCACTAGCTATATTTATTATTATAGAGGCAAACAAAAAACAAAATAGAAATCGGAAAAAAACTAAAATAAATTTCAATATAAATAAATAAAATAGAAGGTAAAAAAGAAGAAGGAAAAGGTAAAAAAGATCTTTTTATAAATAAATTTATAAATAAATAAATTTCACTATATATAAATAAATAATTTTCACTAATATATAAATAAATAAATTTCAATATAAAAAATAACCGACACATTGGATGCCATCACTACTAGTAATGATCTTTTTGTCTGACAAAAAGATTAGGAGGCCAGCAAAAAAAAGAAGAAAGTCAAAAAAAGAAGAAGGAAGAGGTAAAAAAGAAAACCCAAAAAAAGGGGGAAGAAGTCAGAAAAAAATCCAAAAAAAAAAAAATAACCTAGAAAATAAAATGAAAATAGGATGCTAGAAAAAAACAAAAAAATAAATAAATAAAGAACATTACCCAGGAAGAGAAAAGAGATGATTTCCATTCAAAAGAGAAATCCGTTCGGATGAATAAGAGAGCTACAGGAGACGCTGTTGAATAATAATTTGTTGGTCACAAATATATATATATATATATATATATATATATATATATATATATATATATATAATCAATATCTACCTCGCTGATAAGATACAAAAATTAATCAATATATATCTCTATGTAGGATACAAAAATTAATCAATATATCTCTCTCTGATAGGATACAAATATATATATATATATATATATATATATATATATATAATCAATATATATCTCGCTGATAGGATACAAAAATTAATCAATATATCTCACTAATGGGATACAAAAATGTGTCGGTTATATATCTGATTCTGATTGTATATAAATGTGGTGGAAAGGTAGACAAGAGATGATTGTATATAAATATGATCCTGATAGAATATATTGATATATAATTATTTATATATCTGATAGCATAAAAAATATGTCGGTTATGTAATAAAATAAAAGTCCAGTGAACAGGTTACTTGATTTACATACAATCAAAATAAAATAAAATTATAATAAAATAAAAGAAGAGAGAGACACTCAGAAGAGGTTACGTGATTTACATAAAAAATATTACTTTTCAGATTTTTGAATCAGATTACTTTTCAGATTTTTCAGATTACTCAGAAGAGAGAGACAATTCTCCATTTTATAAAATAAAAGTCTTGGGAACATACAATCAAAATAAAATAATATTATAATAAAAATAAGATTCAAAATGAATTGTAAGTCACGTGATTTTCTTCCTCATCTCCATCTTAATAGTTTATACGTAGAAGAGAGAGAGAGAGCGCTCCATTAAAAAACGCAGAAGAGAGAGAGCGCGCCATTGTAGCCGCGATTTGTGCCGAAACGGACGCGATTTTGTCTGCTATTACGGACGCTAAAGACGCAATCTCTTTCCAGCGCGGTGCGGGGCTATTCCTCGCGGTCGACCACCGCAACCCGCAAACGTTGCGGGTAACGCCGCTTTAGCAGCGCTTTTAACTACTATGATCAAACATCAATTCAAAAGGCAATTCAAAATCAGGTGATGTGATAATAGGTGTTGTCGTTAATTTTTCTTTCAAAAGATTAAAAGCAATCAAACAGTCATTGTCAAAGTTGAACTCTTCTTCTTTGACCAATAGCTTGCAGAGAGGCTTGGAAATCTTTGAGAAGTCTTTGATGAAACGCCGATAGAAATCTGCATGTCCAAGAAAACTACGCACACCACGCACATTAGATGGAGGGGGAAGTTTCTTTATGAGTGAAATTTTTGCTCTATCTACCTCAATTCCTTTCTCAGAAATCTTATAGCCTAATAATATGACATCTCTTACAATAAAGTGACATTTTTCCCAGTTGAGTACTAAGTTACTCTCTTGGCATCTATGCAAGACACAAGCTAAATTAGTTAAGCATAAATCAAAAGATGAACCGAAGACAGAAAAATCATCCATAAATATTTCAATAAAATTCTCAATCATATCAAAAAAATGGACAGCATACACCTTTGAAATGTGGTGGGTGCATTGCACAACCCGAAGGGCATACGTCTGTAAGCAAAAACACTGTAAGGGCAAGTGAAAGTTGTCTTCTCTTGATCTTCTAGAGCAACCGCTATCTGATTATATCTGGAATAGCCGTCAAGGAAACAATAGTATGAATGTCTCGCTAGTCTCTCTAACATTTGATCTAAGAATGGTAGAGGAAAATGATCCTTTCTCGTAGCAGCATTGAGTCTCCTGTAGTCGACGCATATTCTCCAGCCAGTAATTGTTCTTGTGGGAATCAATTCATTGTTTTCGTTTCGCACCACTGTAATCCCACCTTTCTTTGGAACTGTTTGTACCGAACTCACCCATGCACTGTCAGAAATTGGATAGATCATGCCAGCATCCAAGAGCTTCACGACTTCTTTTCTCACAACTTCTTTCATAGTCGGATTTAGTCTTCTATGTGGTTGTCTGACTGGCTTCACATCATTCTCCATCAATATTTTATGAGTGAGAAAGGATGGGTTTATTCTCTTCAAGTCTGTAATAGACCATCCAATAGCCGTTTTGTGCTCCTTCAACAATTTTAATAATTTTTCTTCTTCAATGGTTGTCAGGTTCTCATTGATGATCACTGGATATGTATTGCTTTCTACTAGAAATGCATGCTTCAAGGTAGGAGGAAGCTCTTTCAATTCAACTTTAGGTTCTCCCTGAGTAACATCATCAACTTTATTTTCTAACTTTTCAACCATTTGTTCTTCCTCTGTTTCTTCAGTTGTATCTTGCAATAGTTTTCTTCTAATGACTCCAATTCCATTAGTGGTTGGAGTATTTCATCAACGGTTTCAAGTACGGCATCATGAATCACATCAACTTTAAAACAATCTCCTCCGTCAGTTGGATGCTTCATGGATTCAAAGACATCAATTGTCACAGTTTCTTCGTTAACCCGCAACATCAGCTTGCCTTGCTCAACATCAATCATAGCCCTTGCAGTAGCCAAGAAAGGTCTTCCCAGAAGTAATGGAATTTCAGCATCTTCTTCCATGTCTAATATAACAAAATCTGCAGGGAAGATAAACTTATCTATCTTTACCAAGACTTCTTCAATTACTCCGTCTGGCCTTCTGATAGATTCGTTAGCTAACTGTAATGAGACTTTTGTTGGCTTCAATTCATGAATTCTCAGAGCTTTGCAAATGGAGAGAGGCACTAGATTAATGCTTGCCCCCAAGTCACATAGCGCATTTTCCACATCAATGTTTCCAATTTCTATGGGAATGCTAAAGCTACCTAGATCTTTAAGCTTCGGAGGCAACTTCTTCTGAATTATAGAATTGCACTCCTCTGTCAAAGTCAATGTCTCACATTCCTTCAGCTTACGCTTTCTTGATAGAAGATCTTTCATGAACTTAGCGTAATTCGACATGCTCTCCAAGGCTTTAGCAAATGAAATATTGATTTGCAGCTTCTTGAAAATATCAAGGAACCTGGAGTACTGTTGCTTTTGAATTTCTTGTCTGAGCCTCTATGGGTATGGAATTTTTGCATAAGGTGAGAGCTCCAATGATTTTTCTTGCTTTTCTTGAGCTTTCTTTTTCTCCCATTTGAACTCCTTCTTTTCAGGAACAGCTTTTTCTGCAACAGCTTCTTTAGCAACCTCCTTTTCTTTTTCTCCAATGTCAGCATTGGCATCAACATCAACTTATTTTTCCTTCCTTTCCTCATTCTTTTTCTTCTCCACTGGTTGAATTACTATTCCACTTCTGGTGGTAATAGACTTGCAGTGTTCTTTAGGATTCATAATGGTATTACTTGGAAAAGTGCCTTGAACCCTTTCAGAAATTTGCCTGATCTGAGTTTCAAGATTTCTAATTAATGCTTCTTGATTTCTCATTGCAGCTTCCTGATTCTTGAATACTGTTTGAGTTTCTTGCATGAAAGAAGTTGTTTCACTTTCGAAAGTTTCTGAACCTTGGATGTAATCATTAGTTATTTTTGAGAGTTGCATCAGTGCTTTTTCCAACTCAGAAGGGCTACATTGTGAAGGTGGTTGTGGTTGCATTGGAAGAGGTGGATTGAGCTGATGCTAAGTTGATTTATAATTGAAACTAGGGTGATTTTTCCATCTTGGGTTATAGGTATCACTATAAGGATTGCTCTGGTTCCTCTGAAGATTGCCCTGATTTCTCTGATCATACCATATTCCATTAACTTGAGTTGCTTCAGTTCCTCCAAGAGCTCCACAATTAATGCTCTCGTGTTCCCCTCCACAATATTCACAAATTGGTGGAGGTGGCTGTGTCTGAATTGCAGATGCTTGAAACTTTTCAAACATGGTTGTGAGAGATGCCAATTCTTGAGACATCGCCTTCTGTGCAGTCAACATAGCATCATTGCTTTCTAGCTGATATATTCCTTTCTTTAGTGGTGTCGGAACACTTTCATTCTCTAAAGAAGCCATGGATTCGAATAACTCCAACGCTTGAGTAGGAGTTTTCTGTCTCAATGACCCTCCTGTAGCGGCATTAATGACCATCCTGGAAGCAGGGGTTATTCAATTGAAGAATATTTGCACCTTTGGTCCAAGTTGCAATTCATATTGAGAACATCTTCTTTGTCGATCTTTGAATCTTCTCCATGCAGAACAAAAAGACTCCCCTTCCTGTTGGGTGAAATTTGAAATTTCATTTACCAACAGGTTATACTTGGTCATTGGGAAGAAATTAGCCAAGAATTTAGCGGCTAAGTCATCCCATGAATTAATGCTACTAGTAGGTTGTTGATACAGCCACTATAATGCTTGCTCCTCCAAAAAGAATTGGAACAATCTCAGACGGATGGCATCATCTGCTACCCCGTTCATCTTCACTGTGTCACATACCAACAGAAACTTATCAAGATGAAGATAAGGGTCTTCTTCATCATCACCAGCAAACTAATTTTGTTGAACTACTGAGAGTAGAGCTGGCTTGATTTCAAAGTTGTTTGCAGCAACATTTGGTCTGATGATGCTTGAGGTGTTTCTTGGCATTCTCGGCGTGAGGAATGCATTCATCAACTCTTCTGGTGGATTGTTGTTGTTGTTGTTTGCCATTGTTTCTTCCTCTCGTATCACTGAGCTTGATGCTTCTTGTTCTTGCTGCTTTCTTTCTTTGGCGATCTTAATGTTTCTTTTTGCTGTTTTCTCTATCTCCGGGTCGAAATGCAATTAGTCGGCATCAACAGTACCTCACATAAACCAGAAAATATATTATAAAAATAAAAATAAAAACTGAAATTAAATAATAGAAAAAAAAAGGTCCAATCTAAAGAATCTATAGTTACTATTAATGTTGAAGTAATAATCCCCGACAACGGCGCCAAAACTTGTTGGTGATCACGGCAAGTGCATCGGTCATACAAGTAATATAATGTTTAAGTAAAAGATAGTTTCCACAAGGATTATAACTCAATCACTAATTCAGTACTTCGACTTAAGTTCCATAATCGAAATTGTAATTGGATCAAGATTTGATTTGAAATTTAAAATATTTAAACTAAGGGTTTGATGTTTGTCATTTTAAAAGACATAAATTATGTCGTTTTAAGAGAGAGATAGACACAAGAAATGAAAATCATGGGAGAGAAAGTGGGTGGTTTTTTTTAATTTAAATTTTAAATAAAAAAATAATTTCTTGTGTTTATCTCTTTCCTAAAATGACATAACTTTATGTCATTTAAAATGACAAACACTTTTCCCTTGAACTAATTAAAAGTAAGAATAAAAAATAAGAAATTAAAGATTTGAATTAACTGATAGAAAAGAACGTAGCTAGGGTTTCGATTTCCTTCAATCTCTCTATTACGTTTGAGTTCCTTCTTTAAATTAATCGTCCTTAATATCAATTCAGTCAATTCTTTTAATTTAATTAGGATTCAATCCCTTAACATCCTAAATCTTCACAATCTTGCAAGAACCCTAGTTTCCTGGTTATTCCCCAAGAAAGTAAGCAGTACGTTCAAGAATCTTAAGACTGCGCAAAATCCTATGTCTATCCCTAGAATCATAAGGATTACAATGAAATTATCATATAAGGATCATGCAACAACATTCCTATTGTCATACAATTACCTAGGATCAATCTACAAGATTCAAGCGCATAGAAAGCATTAATAACAGACAATTTCATTCATGATAAAAAGGAAAATTAACGTAAAGAATTATTCAAAGCATAATAAATAAATCGAATTTCATCTAACCCTTACTACTTAAAATATTTAGCCAAACATGGTGAAATCAAGAAAGAAAAGAATTAGAAAACCTCCCCCAAATTCCATATTATAATGAGATTTCTTCAATAACTTCAGTGCAGGCTTGACTTCGATCCGTCTCCGACTCTCCCGAACATGAACTGGTGAATTCTTCGCATTCCCTCTACCCCTGGTTACCAAGAATTCTTCAAGAATGTGAAAAAGTGTGTAATTCTGCCCCAAATTGTGTTTTAAAGAGTATAGAATCCGTGCCCTAGGTGGGTATTTCAAGTGGGCCTAAGTTGGGTCATTTTGGGCGCTTAAGCGCGCTGTTGGGCGTTAAGCCCTCTGGGACAGTAGTGCAGATTTGTACGAAGGCGCTTAAACCCCGTTTTGGGCGCTTAAGCCCTCTTTTCGAAGAGGAACTTTTTACCTGGCAGCGAGCTTAAGCCTTGTTATGGGAGCTTAAGCCCTCTCATACATAAACTTTTTAGTAAATTGGGAGCTTAAACCTCCTCTTCAAGAATTGTAATTTCTTCTATTTTCACTTGGAATCTTCATGATCTTCAAGTTTTTGATCTCCAATTCTTTAAACTTCATATTTGCTTCCATTTAATATCAATTACCTTCAAAATAAACAAATATCAATTATTTAATTCATAATTCACAAAGTCCATGTTTTTACCTCAATAAACCCTAGTTTTCACTTATTTAACTTGATTTTGCATGTAATTTTAGTCTATAAAACAAGATAAACTAAAAGTTTATCATCTAGCGTTAGGAATCTTTCATGTTTTTGACCAAAGAGAAATTCATAGAAATGTCTTGTGGACGCTCATCTCTAGAACTTTGTGAAAATGCTACGACAATAATGTATCGATTAAAAGGAAATGACAACAGTAAATGGCTTTTAGATGCTCTACCGAGTAAAAGCCAACGGCTAGGTCATTGGTCGAGAGCTTTATTCTGAGGATGAAAAATGATTGGTTCTCGATGAGTCAAAGATCAACGACATGTGGACCAAACGTAAAAAGAACGGAGCTTTAGAACCCCTAAGTGGGTACACTTACAACCCGTTTGTTTGCACTTTTAAAAAAAGTAACTTTTATCTCTTCCTTATTTTAGAAGTCATTTTTGCAAAAGTTAAAGTTATTTATATTTTTATAAAAATATTCAGATTTTGAAAAAAATATTTGACTTTTGACTTCTGCTTTTTTTAAAAGTTAAAATTTTTAGCTTCAGAAAAAAGTAAGTTTTTGACTTTTTTTTGTGACTTGTGCTTTTTTTAAAAGCAGACATCCAAACGAACTAAAAATGAAAAATGCTTTTTTTCAATAAAAAAGCCCATCCAAACGAGCCCTTGATATAGTTAACTTATATGTTGAATAAAATAAACAGTTTAAATAAGTACTTCTGTGAATAGACTCTATTTCTTAATTTCACCATAAATATTAAACAAAATAATTACTAAACAAAATAATTATTAAACTTTACCTCGAAGATATTCAACCAAACTTCGACTTTGGTCATAAATTTTATATGGCACCTCAGTTTCATATATTAATTTAATTAGCTGTTACTTTAATTGAAGTAGTACATTGTCCTAAGAATATGCATGTATGGCATAAACCGGTCTGAACATCACATTTTTTTTTTTTTTAGTGAAGGTTTGAAATTAATTCATATGAATTGCAATTATGGCAATCACACTGCCATAGTGCCATTGCAAATTATACAATATGTGGGTACCCGATTGATTACCTATCAAGTGCTTTAATGTTTCTCCTATAGCCAGTGTTAGATTTCTTTTCAAGGTAACTACTGTTATATTTAAAACATCATGTTTATGTCATGTATGCAAACGTTAGTATATATGAATTAATGGAAAAACTATTCTTATGTCACATGACATAAGTTTTTTTTCTACACACTCTTTGATAACTGTGTCATTTTTTTTTTCAGGTGGTGGAACTCACTAGTTTGTCTCTATTACATAAAATAACTATCTTCTTTAACATGAGATTAATAAATCCATGAATTAAATGATGAACAAAGTTTTATCGGTTTATAAATATAAACCGATAAATATTTCCTTTCTAGAGATAATGAAAGCTAAATGCTGCAAACGCGCGTTAAGACTATTTTTAAACTATAAATATAAATTTACTAACCATTTCAAAGCCACCGTCAAAGCTT